CAATTCGTGCCGCGTGAGTCCCGTTAGTCTCACATAACGCCCGGGGATGCTCAACACATTCTTGGAGACGTGCGCCACCGGCGCTATATGTAGATGATATATATCAATCGTTAATTTGTATTCCTGCGGCTACTAAATATTTATTGTCGTGATTGCCCATTTTGTTACAGGTTGTCTAACAAAGAATTATCCTTGTCTTCAAATAAATCAAAATGTAATTTTATATAAATGATGACTAATTTTTTTTTAATATCATTATAATATTACAATGATAATATTATATGTAAAAATAATCACACAAAAAGTTTTCTGTTTTAAAAAAAATAAATCAACCCGAGCTTGCGAAGGAACGCGGGGAAGATGGAAAAGGATTCCAGAGGGGGATTGTATCCTGGTAATTATGCCACAGACGAATGTCGGGACATACATCAGCGACAGTGTGTTTAATGCGTAGCCGTTAAATATGTGCGCCAAGCACGCCATGCTCTGCCTAAACACAACACTCCAACGGGGATCCAACAAATTAACGCCGATGCGTTAAATGTCTGAGCTAGAAGATCGCGTCTTCCTCTCTCGAACTGAGAAATCGTAAGCCACGACTTGACGCAAAAAAATCGAGCGATTTCTTCAGGAGAACGTATAACATATAAAAAAAATTTATATATTTATATCAGTAAAATAATCAATAATATACAGTCGAAGGAAAAATATTCTAAATAAAGAATCTGTCAAAGAATCTGCCTCACATATGTAAAATATTTAGCAATTTTGTACTGTTTATTTAGAATATTGTACTGTTAAAACCGTATTATATACCGTATCATACCGTAATAAAAATCACGATAATTCTATCGCAAAAAGCAGTTTCACACTTTTATCGTAATTCAAATAAGCAGCAAAATATCCGGTCTCAAAAAATTAGTGACGAATCATACGAGTAAGTTAATAGGAACGCCGTGTATAAACTATAAACGTTCGCGGTCGTAAACGAGCAACGAAGAAACATTGCCGACAATATTATTTTAATCCGTAAAGGGGAAAAAAATGTTTATGCAGCGCAGTGATTAATATGTCTTTATATATTCAACGGATGGTCCGTACGTTGCCAATAAATTCTGATTTTTTTTTCAGGGTCAAGATCGCAATGTTTCCTCAAGAGAAAAAAATTTATCATAGTATAGTAGACATCGTAAAAATTAAAGAAACTTGTTTCAAAATTTGATTTCTTGTAGAGAATAACATCATACTTAATTTTAAGTTATAGACACTTATAAAAAAAAAATTAATAGAAATATATATTTAATGTGACTAATTGTAAGTTATACATAATTTATACTTGGAAATGTATTTTTAAATATTTATATTTGGTTTCTCTATTTTAATATTTAAAAAAATAAGGTAAATATTGTACAAAACATCTAATGTTTCAATTTCAATTAAAGTTTGCATTTTTTTAAATAATTTGAAACTAGTTAAAACGTTAAGTTTCATGTAATCTCTGTTAAGCACGTGCTATGTTTTCTTATTATCACAGTCGCCGAGTATTTCGTTCAACAAAACGTGGGTAAGATTAATGATCCCCGAAGAATGGAGTGACTTTTTTCTCTGATCAAACACGCGAGATAATTAATAACGCGCCAATTGACCTAACGATTTCTTAATCGACGGTATGGAAAAACTGTGAATTAATGAAAAAGCTGAAAAATATCGATTGGAAGAGACATGAAAGAATTCAAAAATTTTGATAAACGCGAATATTAAAATCTATCGCAATTTGTTCCAAGAGACTCGACATTTTCTTCACAAACAATATATATATATATTTTTTTTTTGATGATTTATTATATTTAGTATAACTATTAATTAATTACAATTTTTTAAAATTTTAAACAAAAAAAAAGCATAATTATTCCTGTACTAATTTTATTTATGAAAATTAAATTAGTAATTTTAATTAATAATTATTCCAAAATATTCGTCACTTTTTCTAAATTATAATAAAAATGATGATTATATTTAGAAGCTATAAAAACAATCAATTTTTGTATTACGATTCTTTCTCGATTCAAGAGACCGTATCAAATGTTCTATCGACTCAAGTGGCGGAGATCGATCGAAATATCAAAAGTATCTGCAAAGTGGATCAACGAGTGCGAACAACTGCCATACATATATCGTTTTTCGAACCGGATAGAAGCGCCGGAACAGACGGTCTCGTGTTTACACTGACGATCAACGCGCAAAAATAAACGCGTCCTGTATATCTTTAACCCTTTTGCGTCGGTGGACGACACGCGCCCGCCTGCTACCGCCTAAATCTGTTTTCGAAATGTTTTTCTTTTTTTTTTCGAGTCGAAATAAAGACTGAATATAGATCGATTACTACACGAGATTTGGCTTTTGTATAATTTCTGTGAATATCAGAAACATCCGATCTCTTTATGTCTCTTTCTTTGAAAATATTTTTTTAATATATATATATAGGTATATATATAATTAATTTAAAAGCAAAAACACATCAAAATTTTATGTTATATTAAGTAAGGCGTATATTAATATTATCGTGTGCAATTTAAAGAATAGACTTTAAATACCAATTTTTACTTTTAAACCATTTGAAACAAAAATGTTTAAGTCTTATTTATGCAAAATACTTTAGTTCGTTTAGTTTTATATCGCGTATACAAAATACACACTGAACTGAAAACACGGAACTGAAAACGAATATCAAATTTCATAGTTACGAGAATTCCTGGTATACTTTATTGGAATTTGTGAAACGCAAAATTATTCCAAAATAAACTAGTTGTGTAAGAAAGAATCTGTTTACGGCAAATTAAACGCATGCAATATGTTCTCTCAGCATTCACAATCAGAATCAGGCATGCGCGCTTATGCAGATGCATTATGCAACCGTATGGTACCAAAAGCGCATCAGCCAGAAATTGCCAAATTTGGCAATCGCATCGGTTCTCTCAGTTGCCTAATTATATTGCAACAAGATATGAAAATGTCTTTACTTTCCAGTAATAAAGAAAATAAATTGCCTGATGTAGTTTTTTGTCCATGTGAATAATTTATGCTTTCACAATTCTATATCCTATGCAATATTTTTACGAATTTTTCGAAGACAAAATCCAAAAATCAATGTAAAGATTTGTTTGAATGAAATAGAATGAAAAGCAACATAATAATAATTCGAGAATAATAATAATAATAATAATATTAAATAATCAATTTTTATAAGAAAAAATCTGCGAAGAAAGTTTCAATAAATAATTTTAAATGTTCGCTCTGGTATCTATAAAGTAATTACAGAAATATAATTTAGAATATTAAAATATCCAAACGCGATAGTCTTAGTCATATAAAAATTTTTTACGTGATCTCATTCTGCGATTCGCATAAAAACTAGGAAAACTCGATATCGCGAACAAAGATTGGAACAATAGAGCATTAGATCCGTGAACGGAGTAAATTGATATAAATTCAAGTGTATAGTAGGTATAATATTTCGAAAGACCTCGGGAAACGTCCTCGTGACGCAACATTCGCGGAACAATCATTAGCGGTGCGTTTGAGCGCGAAGTCTAGCGGTGACGGCGACAACGCACATGCATCGCAGAAATACCGTTACGCTTCGATAATAATCGCGGCAGGTGTTCCGATACGGCGAATAATTTCGATACCACGAAATTCCTCATCCACGCGGGACCAAATTGCAATAATTATTTCCACGGTTTATGTCTTTTCTACACGAAACTCCGCGAAAATATAGCAATTGCCACGTCACGTGCGAGCTTTACGCACGAAGATTGCATTACGTTTCTTTGCATGTATTTAATAATAAGTACGTTTGATCACGTAGACCTATGATATATCTGGATATATTATAAAATATTTCCATATTACAAAATTTATTTTCAAATGTAAACAGTTTTATATTTTTTGAAAAATGCTATTCCTCGGCTGCAAAATTATTTTAATAATTGAATTTTTTATTATTTATTATACAAGAAAGTTAAAAAATCATTAAATCTTTTTTCGTCTCAATTTTTTTATCTTAAAAAAATTACGATATTACTAATTGTAAATAAAATTATAAGCAAAACAAATATTATATCAATATTTACTATTTTCCTTTCGCATAAATTGCGTATGAAAAAAAGAGATGATACGACATTCAATTTAGCGCCCTCGTACTCGCATAATATTCTCGATTATGATTATTATGTTACCTTGGTCGTCCAATCCGCGAAGGTAGGTTTTTCGTAAACTCAGTGAATATAAATTACGTGGCGCGATACGCGCATACATAACGCGCCGAGTTAATATTTGAACACGAAAAATTGCCATTTTCACGTGCGGAATATTACGCGTGAGCTAGAGTAGTTCCTTATTCGAGCAACGACATAACGACATAACGTTGAAACGAGCATAAACAATATACAATGGAAAAATAATATTTTCACAACATCGATTTTTACGACAGTACATCATTCATCATTTTGTTTCATCATAAGATGCTATAAATAGCAATATAAAATTTTAAAATTTAAGAATGTTATAATTACTGTTTAATGTAAAATAAAATTAATATGTTCAAATCAATAATATACTTTTATTTCAATTAATTAAAATATTAAATCATTTTAATCGTAATAGTTATTATAGGTTGTTAATGTAAACTGTATACGAATAGATTAATTAATACAATCAATAATCAATGCATTTGTGACGTGAATTAAAATATAATAAAACAAATAATATATGCAATTATACTACTAAATAAAAATAGCATTCTATTCGCGCCGAAAATTTGAATAACTGTCGGATTTCGAAGTAACAATCACGTGACTTCTAATCGGTTATCATTCCGCGATTTGTGATATTTCACGGGTCATGATAATCAAATAAATAAATGCTCTTAAAACTCGCGGTGTCAGTATATAACATATAAAAGCTGTTATTATAATTATTAAATATTAAGGCAGACTCACGTGATTCAAGCGCGGCTCCGTGCACGATGCGTGACCCACGCGAATCCCACGTCGTTGATATGTATCCTTCCACAGCTTCTGTAGTCACAAAAAGCGCACCTTCACCGATATGCGTAACGAAAGAGAGAACGAAAGGTATGATTCTCACACTAGATATGTTAACGTAATCAGGGACGGAATCACGATACTACACATTCAAACCGACAACAACGAGCGGGGACGAGCGGCGAGCGCCGACTGCGCCACGCGCCGTGGGACGCGAGACCGCGCGCGCGGTGGGATGGTGGGGCGAGGATCGGGGCAAAGGGAGGGGGCAACACCTCGCGGCCGCGGAACCGCGACCACCGCGAAACCGTTACCTGGACGGCGCTGCGCGGCGGCGTCGCGACACCCCGCGACGTCTTGCGACGACGCGCAACATCCGAATCACGCCGAACAGATCTGTTCTAGCTGTCCTTTCTCGCGTTCACGGCATTATATATATATGATACGTCGTATGATAAATATCATTAATAATGAAATATCTCCCATTTTAAAATTGATGGATACTTTTTACCCAAAGTAGCAAAAAAATGTTTAAAGCTACAATGCTTTACAAATTACTATCTGTGAGAATCGAACCTTTTCTTAATTCTCTCTATGTGGAAAATTTAACAAAAACATACAAATACATTTCTATGTAATTACACACGTGATAAGTGAATTATTTACTTCGATTCAATACCTGTCTGCGTGTCGTCGCGTAGCCCGCTGATGATTCCGCCATTGCACTGAACGCTTCTTCGCTCACTCGCATAAACCGATCGCGAAACTCGCAATTAATTTATAGTATCGAACACAATCAACGCGACAATCTTTCGTGATCTCGCACGGCATTTCTGGCGATCGCTACACCCGCGGCGTATATGGGATAAAAAAGCTAATGTATAAAACAACGCGAGAACTACTGATGTTCGTTGTACACGCAACGCGATGCGAACTGATCGAAGTTGTAAAATTCGATTCGCGCGAAATTCACTAAGCTACGCGAAACGCATACGGCATACCAGTGATACCACTCGTAGGGCGAGAAATCCTAACCATGATAATGAATTTTGTTATGAATGTCGATTGATCTAGCAATCCGTGCCAAGCTCTCGACTCAGAAGCTAATAATTAATAATTGATCAACAATTAAAGATGCAAATATACATAACATATAATGTAAGAATAACAAAATTGAGAGATGAAATATTTCGATCAAGACGGCACGAATGAATTACGTGATCGATATATATGCAAATCGAAGAAACGATATCAAAAAACTATTCGCAATTGCGAGTTAATTAGCACTTCATGTAATTGGAACGGATTCAATTAAATATTCGCGTTATCGAACGAATCGCGGGATGAATTTTCGCGAAAATCGAGCGAAAAAATGCAGCACGATCACGCGCGTCCGACATTCTGAACTGTATACAAACATTACAAACACCGCGACCGGCGACGGCGGCGACATTGACGAGTCCGGCCGTCCGGCGTGAATCAGTCTTGCCAGAACAAAAAAATATTTTGTACCAACTAAATGCAGCAGAAATGTACTAGAGATAAAATCAAAATGTACTAAAATCTAAAAATTAATTTCTATAATTTGCGATTTAATACATTTCCTGCATTTAATAATAACTTTTCTTTGATGTCGTGAATAGAGAAGAAAGAAAGAGAGGACAAAGAGAGAAAGAGAGAGAGAGAGAGAAACCGGAAAATCACCGCGCCAAGTTCAAAATAAACGAAAGAACAAACGATCGCGTTTGTAACAATACATCAAACTGTTGAAAATTCATATACATATAATAAACGTAAATAAAATGTTATCACATTTTAATACGATTAATATGTTGACTTGATAGCTTTTAATACTACACCCGATTATAGTGTATGGCTGCATTTGATACAAATATAATTTTATATCGGTTATTATAATTATAATATAATTTGTATTTTAATATTTGTTACAATTAATAAAAAACGAATATTATAGATAAAATATAATTATATTGTTAAGAATATTGTTAAGAAGAAACAGTTACAGTTGTGTTAAATTTAATTAGTAGGTACGTTAATTATAAGAATTGAAATAACGTTTATTTAAATAATGATTATAAATTTCAATTCAATTTTTATTCTTAAACATATTATTAACGCAAATGATTTAAATCAATGTTTGTATATGGCAGACGAATAGAACATTGAATTGACCATCTTTGATTAATAAATAAATAGAATAGAAAATAACAATTCTGAATATTTCATTATCATTATTAATGTTTACCTGATGATTTTAGGTGATCAATGTGAAAATGGCGGAAGGAATGAAACAGATTCGACATGCGATAGCCGTAAATTTCGTAATTATATTTTTTAATATAAGTTTCGTGGCAGTACATTAATATAGTTGCGGGTGCATTTATGATAATGTGTGTTGCTTAATAATCTTGAATAATTGGAATAGTAAAATAGAAACTAGTAGTGCCATCAAACCGCATGAACACCGATGTAATTAACTGTATAAAAAATTCATATTGCATTTATTCGTTCCCTATAGAAAAAAAGTACAAGAGTAAAATTCGCATAAAATTGTCTAAAAACCAGGCAAATCAAAATCTCAAATAATTCAAATATTAAATTCTATTAAGAGTTATAACAAACGAAAGCTTTAAAAATGCGTGATAAAATAATAGTAATAATAATATATTAATTATATTTTTCATAAATTTAAATGTTTCACCGTTTTTTCCGATTAATTAGGCCATTAATCGGGACTTAGCAAAACTTATTTTGTGAATAATCTCAAGTTGTTAAAATGTTTTATTAATATTTGTACAATGCATATTTTTGGAAAATGAGCATAAAATTAACATCGCAAGATGCTGATATTAAAGTATTGCATTTCTCTTTTAATTCTATTCTTGCAAATCGCAAATGAAACAGATATAGCTGATATGCAACTGAATTTGGAAAATGGAATTGTATGATATCGATAAGAGATTTCGAATATCGTATCTATATGTATATATATGTATAATATAATAATATATAATATATAGTATAAATAGCTAAAGTCACATTATGCATCTTAATTTTTGGCGTGAATCACGTTTAAAACCTACAAACTACTGTAAATTACGCGCAGATCGGTACGTTTATTACATTAAGAATAATACAACAAAACAAGAACGAGAAACAAAAAAATAATTATATATTACCGTTTATTAACAAATTCTAAAAGTCGGGCTCCCGCGCTGGGAAACGCGAATAAATGAATGACGAGCGAACGAATCACAGTAACATTATTTTTATCATTTCACGAGTAATGAAGCCTTACACACACGTTATTACAATTATGTACACGATTTGTCGACAGACATCACACAAACGCGATACAAAAATCGTCGAGAATCGCTGCAGCAAAAGTGAGACTACAAATTAGCAACGATCGAGCGACAAAGAGCGCGATGTTATGATTCTGACAATTTTCACAATAAAGTTAAGTCAAGACTTGATTGAATCTCAATATTTCAAAATTCATCCCTTCGTTTTTGAATTTCAAAAGTTCCAAACATTAAATAAATAATTGTATGCACTTAAAAATGGTTTATTATAAGTACAATTTTTTTTATTCTTTTCCAAAACATGCTCTTGAATATTTTAAAACCAGTTAGAAAAAACGACAGTCTCAATTCTTGCCATCACACCTTATCGATATCTAGAAAAATAATTTTGTTAACAGTCATCTTTCTTTTTCTGCAGCGCGCATGCACTCGTTCATCAATTTCTCAGTGTCACTTCTTATTGCTACGACGCGGCTCCTTTACAAAAATAATTATCTTCTCGTCTTTCCTTGAGTAAGTTCAATGTGCACTACGCTTATTCAGCATTCCAAAATCCAATTCGTCGCCCTTTGTCTTCCGTTGCAAAAATTCTTGCGTTATCAATACAAATTGCTAATCGCTAATCGTTCGAAAATGAAGCTTAATTCTAGTTATTATTCTCTAATCCTTAATCCTTTCGACCTTACATTGCACTTTTTTTAAGAAACTGCTCAGTGTAACTTTCATCTAGAGTCGCAATTTAGCTTAAGATAAATTTTTTTTTAGTTTAAAACGAAACATGTATCAGTATAAATAAGCTAAGAATTTTACCACAAGATTAATTTTCATGTCAACATGAATCCTAAGCCTCTTTCGCGTCATGGAACCGAAAGGGTTGATTAAATACTCCGTCTATTTGCGTTTATTTACCTACAACTAGACTTACATAGACATTCGATATAAAATAACCTATTTAAATGCATTTGGCATGTTTTGTTCTTAATTCCAAACTCGTCAGTTTCTCAACCATCATCCTCGTCATTCGCTATCGATCCATTACTATTTCAGTGCTGTTATGACAAAGTCATCCTCGAATCCCGGACGATTAAGGACTGGGTACATTATCACCGATTAATAGTTATCGCGCGAGATTAATTATATATTATTCTTACTCTAACTAAAAAGATAATATCTAAAAAAGGACGAATTACAACCGGGATTTTAATAGCTAGCAAGTCCTCCAGATTAACTCTAGAAGTTAATACTGGTAATTGTAATTTTTTTTTGCAGATATAAACTTCATCTGGTTTTATTCTTAAAACTCTCTTGCACTTCGCGATTATATATCGTCTTTGGTCTCTCTTTCAGCTATTCAATCTTCAACAGTAATAAAAATTATGAAAATATATGTAAATTAGAAAAAGTTTTACACCATTTCGTATTCTTCTGTTGAATAATCTACAAGATTTGAGGTTCTCTTTCTGGATGGCATCAATGAAAAGTATTACAACTGTACCATCTAACATTTGTACAATCGTTTTCCAATGACGTCTATTTTATCGATAGACTGTTTTAAAATATTATAACTCTCTAATCTTCTTATTTTATATTTGAAAGTGTTTTTATCGAAATTAATAAACTGAAAACTTTTAAAAAAAAAAACATGTCATAAACTGTTGTAGATACAATGCTTTTCGTTGGTACCGTCAGTCTAAATCTGAAGTCCAAAATCTAAGGATTATGAGATCGTTTCTTCCTTTATAAAATATTTAGTGTCATTCGGTCTAGTCATTTCAATTTAATAGAATTTAAAGCAAAATTTTTCTTAACGCGTATTAACACAATCATTAAAAAAATAATTTTCAACTTCGATGAGGTTCGATCGCTACATATCAAGAGTGTCAACTAATTTAATGTGGACCAATATTAATAAAAACTGCTCTATTCTTAAAGCGCTTAGACTTTGGATTTCGTCGTTCTTGCACGAATTAGTCATATATCAGCGTCCACCACGCACCCTCAATAAATCACCTCAACTCTTCGCTATCACTTTGTCCTGGTTGTGTTCAATACGCCGCTTGGTCTCACGTGAATACTTTGTCTGTTGGATTTGCCTCTGCTAGAGATCGTCGAGGCGTCGATCACTGATCTTCGGCTCTTATCTATTCTCTCCATCTCCTCTTTGTCCCTTCCCTTGCTCACCTCAGACCTTTGAGTGCGACCCGTTGACTTGCACGACCTCCCGGTCTTCGCTTCGCTCTCGTATGTCTTCCTCAATGGCTGTGGTGTATAATACAGGCTGAACCGCTTCGTCCGCGCTGCCGGTTTCTGTCTCATCTCGTCGCGTAATTCATCCGTCGAGCTGAACTTCCGCGTCGTGAGTTTATCACCACCGCCGCTGCCGCTAACTTCCTCGGGTGATTTCTTCGTTGCGCATGGAGAAAAGCAGCTGTATCTTTTGCTCTTGACACTTTTGGAATCTACCTGACTCTTCCTATTAATGTATCTTTCGTGCCGCAACTTCACTGGTTCGTTCTTCGCGCCTTTGCCCATTTCTTGAATCCTACTGAACGGGCTGTTGCAATTTTTTTTGTCGACCTGATTGTCCAATTTAGGTGATCTCAACGTATTTAGCACAGCTATTCGAGACTGCATCATCCTTGAAGCAGATGTATTTTTATCCTGATTATTCACTAGCTTCGAAGAAATCTGCGAGGAGCGATCCTTGAGACAGTTGTTTGTGTACCGGAAACTCACGTTCTCAAAGCTGTCGGTCGACTCCATGCTTTGCGTCGAACTCGATTTTTGTCCGCGTGCCAGTCGCGCGAATTGAATGTTTACAAAGCTGTCGGAAGTCTCGATGTCATTGCCGGCCGAACTGTCACCAGTCAGACTGTCACTCGATGTTGACGCAGTCGCATTGCTGTTGCGAAAGTCATCGCTGTCGAATCTATTCTCGCGATTCACCTGATACAAATTCTTCTGGTTGCATTTACTTTGACGAATCGAAACAATGGATTTATTCGCTGACTTTGGCGTCTCACAATTCAAATGGAGATACCTCGATTCTTTCGTCGAATTTCCGTTTTTCCGATCGCCTCGATGATTTCTAGAAATTATGACTGTCTTCTCGGTGATTTCGTCGCAACGAATCGGTGAATTGCTGCGATAATTGCACGTGTTTAAATTCTCTGGAATGCTGGTGAGTGACGAAGTAGCGCTCTGCGATTCAAGACGGCGTCGTGGTATTCTATTATCATTCAGATTGTCTATTAAATCGTGCATCGATCGGCTCAGACTATTGATATCCTTCAGGCAATCGGAACTAAGAAACACTAAGTCATTTTCGTTGCTATTGCCGTTGGCAAAATCGATTTCGTCGTGATTCCACTTAGCCGATTTTCTCTGAACGTCGATAAATTCCGATACATCACGACGATCAATATCATTCTTCCACTCAGCTCTTGTCTTGGTGTCGTCGTCTTGTCGTTGACTGCGCTGCTTCTTGAAGTCGAACTCGAAGGTGGCCAATCTTATCGGCTTACGCTGCTGATTCCAGTATTGCTCCGCCGGTGCGTCAGTTGCTGTTGCTGCGGTCTGCTCGCCTCCTAGAAAGCTCTGCTTATATACAGAGGCGGAACAAAAGAAAAGAAAAAGCACTGCTACAGATACAGCAAACCACTACAAAAGCTTTCTTGTGCTAGTCTTGTGTTGGAAATAAAGTCGATAAAGCGCGAGAGGAAAGCAGATAGATTTCTAATCGCACCACACTCGTAACATGGAAATTTTGTTCAGCGCATATAAAAATATAACAAATTATTATTTCTTAAATATAACTACATTTCTATTAATATTTATATGTAATTTCTTTTTTAAGAATATACAAAATAAATTCTCTATAATCTACAGTTATTCATTGTTTTTTTTTCTTCGGATATAAATACGAATTCTTTATGAATTAAGTAATAATAAGGACAAGTTCAAAACTCGATATAATATTGTTGATAGAACTTATTGTTGAAATTTCAAGAAAACATTACATTTATAAACCCGCTGAACTCTTTTTCCGTACAGTGCGGCGTGACGAACTGGTGAGAGCTGAAGGAATCGTGCCCAAAATAATAAATGCGATAGCGAACGTGTCGTGTAGCCGAGAACCATCTCGATACTAATTTCATTTTCGGTCACTGTGAGAAGGTGAGAGAGGGATTTTAAGCCATGCGGGTGCGACAACGCGGTGACTTTTCTAATTTGTGAGTTACAATAACAATGTTGTATGTCAGTGACAGTTACCGCGAGCCACGGATGATCTAATACGTCCTCTGCGCTGAAGCGAAGTTCTGGCTGTGCTTGTAGCATGTTCGAGATGAGTTGCTTCGCGGAATCTGATATTGTATCCCAGTACGGCGATGTGAATTCGTATTGACCGCTCAGGATACGTTCAAACAATTCCTCCTGTTCATTATCTACCGATACGAATGGCGGGAAACCGCATAGGAGAATGTATAGGATTACTCCGGCCGCCCATACATCAATCTGAACAAATTCATGTATACATAAGATTTACATTACAGATATAAATATTTTTAAATAGATAAATACCTAATTTAAATATATTTTTCATATCTTTATAGATTAACGTTAATTTTGTATATTTTTGTCTTCAAAAATATATTTTTTTAAATATATGTATATGAGATGTGTTCCAACTAATTAATTTTTAAAATAACGTTTTTTGCTTTGTTTAATTACTGGATTTACTATAACAAGTCAATGTACATACCTTTAAACCATATCCGGTTTCGGCGAGGATTTCCGGTGCCACATAAGTGGGTGTACCACAGACTGTATACAAAGGTTCTCGCACTACTTGCGCAAGTCCGAAATCGCCCAGTTTCAAGCACCTAACATGACTACCATCCATTTCAACTAGGAGATTCTCTGGCTTGACGTCGCGGTGTACGATATGATGCGAATGTAAGTAAGCCAAAGCGGAAGTCAAATGACTGATCATCACACTCGCCTCTGCTTCAGAGAATTTCGTTGCAACTGCGATTGCATCGAATAAATCTCCACCCTAAAAAACGAGCAAATATCGTTTCACAATCAATTACACAATATACTTTTAGTTGCAAAAATTTAATTTTATACAATATACTTTTAGTTGCAAAAATTTAATTTTACTTAAAGTAAGTTAAACATTTATCGTTAATCAGTTTTTAGCATCACAAGGTCTCTTTCAATTTCGATGACGTACCTTAACAAGTTCCATAACTAAAAATAATTGCTCGGCAGTATCTTGCTCCGCAATCAAGCTGATTATATTGGGATGGCAAACTTGTCTCAGTATTGCTACCTCGCTTGCAAGCATTGTTTCTTTCCCCTGACACTTATACTTATCCACAATTTTCATAGCATACTCAGCACCGCTAGATCTAAAATATTATCAAGATTTTACGTTAGCTTTTAAAATCAAACCAAGCTAACTTAATTGAATTTCTTTTAGATAAAACTTCATTAAAGTTTGATTTGCAATACTTACTTGTGGGTGCAGTGCCTAACGACGGCAAAGTTTCCATCTCCGATTATATGTCCCACGGTGTAATGCATCCTCAAAGGCTGTGGCAGTATCAAAGATGATGGACTTGGAGTCCTGACTTGCGGCGTGGTAAGTGTTTTCTTGCCAGACTTTCTCGGCATTCGCGGCATTGGACCACTCTGTCGCTTGGAGCTCCATGGACATCGGCGGAAGCTTTGCACATATTTACTCTCCTCGAAATCCAGCTCAAAGTCTTCTTGTACAGACTTCTCGGGGCCGTATGCCACGAAAATGTCATCGTTCTCGAAAAATTGCTCGAGCGAAGTCACTTGCTGACCCGACAATGTATACACCTTCCTCACCGCCCCGGTATCAAGTTTCACCGCCTCTGTAATCGCTTCCATCGCGTGCTCGAGACTCGGTGCGTTACGTTTGTTCAACAACAGTCGCATCACTTTACGCGGCTTGGTACCGTGGCGGATCAGCGTCACGATGCGCGCTTTCACGCACAGCGGAATGGCGCTGGTCTGCCGGCCAGTACCACCGCCACCACTGCTAGCTGCCGGCGACTGTGGCAGCCCGGACAGCGAGCTGCCCCGACGGACCTTAGACGCTGAATATTCGACTTTTTTGAAACTTTCGCCCTGGCCAGATACCACGTAGCACTTGCCATCTTCTAGATCGCTGACGCTCTGTACCTTGCGGCCGTCCATGGAATATATCGTTCGCACACCATTCGGCAGGGTAACGCTCGACACCAGGGCACGGGTCAAATCGGTCGCGAGGCTATCGAAGCTGCGATATCTTTCGGGCGTCACTGCCATCACCACACCTGTGTAATACTTGTCTCCATTGCGGAAGAATCGAACTCTCTTGGCCTTCTTTGTCGGAGGTGTTCTAAGAACATTTAGGGTATGCCGCGATGTGATATCCAATATCCTCTCATCCAGACTGACTACAGTGGTCGAATTCATTTCACCATTGCCGCCCGCCGAAAAGTTGCCATCGCTCATGGACGGTGAGGCACCTTGATTCAGTGGTTCCTCCATCATCCTAAAGAAGTATCGCTCTTATCAATAACACGAATAGATGTTACTTAATATTTTTCAATAACATATACATATAAAGTTATTTAGTACAGTAATCACTTATCTTATTAAACTAGCTATCATATAATATTTTTTAAATATAGTAACATGTTTCGAATAGATTTCACATCTGTTATATAATAATTAGTATCTGTCAACATACATACATGTGTTTGCATGCTTCTAATTTAATTTATACCTTACATATAATTGACAAAAAGAAAAAGTAGTTGTCAATGTTCAAGTAAAAAAATTTTTATCAGAGGAATGCAAATCAATGTTCCAATAAGTGCATTAAATTTTTTTACTTGAACATTGACAACTACTTTTTCTTTTTTCAATATAATCTGTTTTTCAACATAATTTAGAATATACAAGTTACATATAATTAATACTAATCATTTATTAAGTATAAGTTAAAAATTAAATTATTAGCGCGTATAGAGCAACACATTCACAAGAGAAATGCATAAATATATTATCCTTTATTAATTTACTACCTTTCAAGTCAAACTTTACAACATATAGATACATGTTGCAGTACCATAAAGCTATAAACCAGGCTACGCCTCTTATCTGCTATCTCACCGACTACAAACACAAAGTCACCTGGAAATTATCGCAGATTCTCGCTGCTGATAAATTAGACAGTACCCTAGAATGGCATTCCAGCCTTTTTTACCCCCTCATCAGCGATAGCATGAGTCACGCATTAGAAAGTTGCACTTGACAGATGCAGCGACAACGAGAATTCCACTTGATGATCGTCAAATCGCTACCAGCTGCCATGAACGGCACGCCAGAAGCTAATTTATGCCTAGGTAGTTATCCGAGACTGATATCGGGATACGAGGACAGATGTGGACGAGGATAGAATGCCGCGGATACGAATGTACCTAACCTCACTTTGCACTCGCCCGTTAACGGATGCCGTCGTCGGCAATCCGATACGATACGATTCGCCTGACAAACCAAAACGTGTGTGTATCCACAATGTCACTCACCTGCTCGCAGACGACCGAGCAGAACGTCGTGGTCGATCGTCTCGGTGGCACGGGACGTGTAACCGTTCGACGCTCGCGCGAGACAGGTCGGGTCGCGAGCGTGAATCACAAGCGAGCTGACATTTTCATAACGGCGACGGCGACACTCGGTCAAAACTGCCGAAAGGCTGACTCAACTCAGCCAGGGCCGTCAGGCCCTCAGGCGACCACGGTAACTGTCGGTAACCAGTGGTGTTGCTAGCGGTATCGCGTTTTTCACGCATACGCAATAAAAAATTGGATATTATATTTGTTAAATTTAATTGTTGCTTAATACACAGACTTCTCTCTGCTTTTTTATTACAACTTGAAAAAAGGCCTCTGCCTTTTTTTCTTATCAAATTAAATAACTTCAATTTTCAATGTCAAAAGCTAAAATATTTATAATTCAAAATTTTACAAAGGGAAAGATTTATTTTAAATTTAAAAAAGTAATATAGTTATATAGTTTTATTATTATAAATAACTATTCTTTTAATCTGTGTCTTATTTAATATTTTAAATAAGTTTTTGGAATATATTTTATATTATTCTATTTTAAATAATTCGTATAAATATTTTACTGGCCCCCGCGATATTTTATTTTAAATATAATAAGTTGTGTCAGTAATTTCCCGAACCCTAGACTGTTATCTATTTAGATAATTAATTAGCACACCGAGCCAGAGAAATCGGCTAACGGTAATTTAAGCGATCAAATTACTTTACAGTTCACAAAGTTAATTACGGAATTGTTTTACCCATTTCGCGTATTAAATTTAACGTTAGATTACAGTAATATGTATTAGAAAATTGTAGTAATTAACAGCAAGCAATTACGTTTATCCTAATCGGGCAATAAAGAAAAAAAGGAATCAATCGATTTCTGTCTCGTTCAAAATTAAATTATACGTATAATAAATGATATGGGTCTCTGTTTCTACAATATTGTCACTCGTTATTTCCGGAAAGCACAATATACGATACAATATACGCAGTACAATATACGACATGCTTAAAATCTCGGTGTGATTATTCAGTCAAAATTCCATACAATTGAATTAACGCGGCGAGCTGCGAGGTGCGCGGCGCGCGCATGCGCGTGAGGAGAGTGGGGAGACTGGGCTCGGCGGCTCGACGGCCGCGGCGCGCCGGCGAAGCGCGCGGCGATCAGTAGTAGGGAATTGGCACGGCCTGTGGGTGGTACTGTGTAGCGCGCTCCCAGCGCCGCAAACTTTAATTCCAAATTATCAAACTCTTGATCAAGCATTCGAGGAGTACAGTCGTGGACACATTGTTTACTTTTTTTTATAGGTTTCAAAACGCACTATAATATTTTGCAAATGTGGACCACGATCTTGGTGTTATACTGT